TGAGGGTGGAGCCTGTGTGACCTGCCAGTCAGCCGTCCTGTGTCTGTGGTAACGGGGTGGAGGGAAGTGGGAGCACGGGCCTGAGAACCGCTCGCCCTCCCCTCCCCTGGAGGTAGACATGGCTCTGTGATGCTCCACCCCTGCATCGAGCTTCCCTCCCACAAGACACAGCTCCAAAGCCTCGAGAAGCAGAGGGAGCCAGCGGCATGGGGGTGCTCCCAGCTTCTCAGTGTGAGACCCCAGCGTTGCCCACACGCCCCGGACCGTGGCACCATGGACACGCCATCCCACTGAGTTGCGGCAGCTGACCTGCAGGCCAGCTGTAGGGTCCTTCTGAGTCCAAGCTCTAGTGGGAAATGTTTCTGCCCACAGATTCCCGCGAAGATCACCTTACAGCTGAACAGCAGGAAGAGTTTCCTATCACCAGTCCTGTGTGAGCCACTGAGCTCTTGGTGCTGTTTTACACGAAGGATGGGGTAAAGTCCTCAATGAACATTTCCTGGCAGCCACATTTTCAGCGGGTTTCAAGTTTTGGGAAAGGAGGCACAGAACACAGATGAATCTTCTAAACTGTATTTGGAACTGACAAAACCTTGCTGGAGACGAGGCCCTGAGCACAGAGTCTGTCTCCACCACGAACGTTTGACACAAACCGTGCAGAACACAATCGGCGGTGAGTGGTCTTTGGCACTGAACAGGTGATTCCTTAACTGCTTCATGCAATAGCCAAACCGCACACCACGTGACATTGGATTGCTGGTTAACAGTTGAATCTTACATTTGAATTCTTTAAAAAAAAAAGTCGGAAGCCCCAGCTAAGTTTTTCAGTATCAATACGCTGACCGCGTCGTAACGTTTAGTGCCTGAGGTAGAGACTTCTGTAAAAGATTTATTAACAAAAACGCAATTCAAAGTAAGGAGAACCAGTCCCGACCTGGGGAGCAACCCTGAGCCACACAGCTCTGGCTTCACCTTCTCCAGAGACTGCGCTTTAGCGCCTCAGCCGTCTTCTACTCAGACTTCTGGGTTTTGGAAAACTAAGGATTGCTGTTGTAAGAAGTATCATTGTGTGGAATGTGCACGAACCAAACCCACTCAATAGCATTATTAAAAACAACAGAACTGCAACATCAGGGACAACAGTCAATAAAAATCTTCACACTCTGCATAATGTGTGGCTGGAATGAGCGGCCAATACGTGATGCGACCTTAAGATTCTAACACTCCGTGGTGGCCATGAACTATCACATATCTGTGACACAGAGCTGCGCCGGATTTTACTTCCAGACTGCACCACACAGGCACAGCGGTTTTCTTGCTTTGAGGTGGTCAGACTCTGCAAGATTACATGATTTTATGAAGATAAAATAATCTGGTACCCAGAACCTTCCAATCAGAATGACCTGCAACTGTGTATCTTTGACTCAAAGGTGTTTTTTTTTTTTTTAATTACATTACAGCCAGGAGAGGCTCTGATTTATAAAAAGGTATTTCTTAAAGTAGATTCTAGAATAACCTACTTGCCTTTTACCAAAAGCTAACACAAAATTTATCATCAACTAGAGATGTTATTTTTAGAACTGCACTGTCTCTTAAAGGAGACAGCAAGCATAAAGCATGGACATCCTGAAGCCAAACGGCTAAGCCACAGGTGTGACTAAGGGGAACAGCACTGAAGTCCCCGCCTGGGACCCAGCGCTGGGGCCGCAGTCTCACACCACCACAGAGGCCTCTGCTGAGAGCATCAGAGGGAAGTGCCTCTTAGCACTGCCGGGGGTTCAACCGTTCCTGAAGCCCTAAGCTCAGACAAGTGCCCGCAAGCAACAGGTGGGTCTCTAACACCTCTACCAGGGCTCTGTGACCTGGCACTTCTGAGAGGTGACTGGCTCCTCACACTTAGAAAAACAGCCGTGGTTCTACCCCCTAATCTCATACCATGAAGAAATGCTAGCGTTGGGTACTAACTGCTGATTTTCCCCCTTTAAAGACACACTCACATAAGACCCAAATGTGGAACTCCTGGGCTGTGAGAACCAATTTGGACGGCAAAATTCATTTTTATCAATAGTAAATAATTCTAGACATTAATCAAGGAAAATCTCGAGGAAGGGGAGGTGCAAACGAATAATACACTTGTGGTTTTAAATGAACAAACACGGAAACAGGCAAACCTAGGTCACCAGTGAAGACAGAGCCACAAAATGAACACTAACGTCTCCTTAGGGGAAAAATGCCTTCTAGTTCTGCCCTCAGATTCAGACTAAGAGAAACAGGCCTGCGCCTTCTGCAATCCTCTCCCGAACCACAGGACTCAACAAAGCAGCCCAAAGGACAGGGCACGGCTGAACGGACACAAGAGGCCATGCAGGAGCCCAGAGCGGAAGGGGCTAAGCACTCACCCTCCGCGCGCAGGACAAGCAAGCATCATGCTGCAGCGCGCCTCACAGGGCGAGGCAAAACAAGGGGATTCGCACAGGAGACAAAGCCTGGCGACATGCTTTCTACACCTTCCCGAGCGGCGTCTGCAGATTCCGAGCAGAGCCAATGAACAGCTGACGCTCTCAACGCGGCCCCTGATGGTCGTTAGGGGAAAATGGCTCTGGCACAAAGGCTGAAAAGAAGTGAGTTAGCGAGGCAGTGAAAGCTGGGAAATTCTTGTCCTGATTCAACGTAAGAGAATGAAACAGACTTTCAAACTGTGTGCACGTGGGGAGGTGACAGGAGTATCGTTCTACATAATTTAAGAAGCTGAAGAACTGACCAGACACCGAAGATCCCAGTCTCACGTCTGCAGAAGCCGCGCAGATGCTTCGGGGCCTGACGCTGTGGCCTGGTTCTCTGCTATTTCTGCTGGAGTCCTTCCCTCTCCATCACTCTCAAGTCTCCATCTTTCCCGCCAGCAAAGTCACTCCTACCCCCCAGGCTCGGAAAGGCCACGGGGGTGCACGTATTCTGTCCTTTCAGAAATCCGCTTGAAGCTCGGACGGAAGCCTTGCGGCTCTGGGGCAGGCGCAGTGTCCCACCACCGGGGCCCGGCCTGGCTCCTGACTCCAGATTTCTGCTAATGTGGACTCTGTGAGACGGCAGGGAAGGTGACACCTACGATGAGACCTGCACTGGGTTCCCAGCTCCTGGCTCCAGCCTGGCCCAGGCATGGCCATTGTGGGCATTTGGGGAGTGAACAGCAAACAGGAACTCAATATCTCTCATTCCTCCTCTCAATATCCATCTGTTAAAAAAAAAAAGTTCTTTATCTTAGCTAGGCTGAAATGCGTAAGGTCTTGTCTCATCTGTTTCCTTACCAGACACTTGGTACGAAGGAGACTGTGCATGTCTATTGATCATTCACGATACACACATACAGCATTTTCTGATACTTGCGGTTCAGTCTCACCTGAAGTTTTCTTTGCTTTTCTTTCTTTCTTTTTTTTGCTTAAGATGTTTAGGAATCCTGAGGAGCTTCTTTAGGCTAAAATTTAAGGCTACAAAAGGAACAAACAAAAAAGCAAAATGCACTGCTAAGAAGATAAGGGCACATCTTCTGCTAAGTGTCTTCTGTTGTTCTGGGAGAGGAGAAACAGAAGGGAGACTACACAGAGGCGCTAGCCCATTTTTCTAAATAATGACAAACCGAGACACACAACATGATACTCTAGGAGTTTCAAAGTCCAGAGCCAGCTTGCAATTGTCTCCTGTTAGAAAAGAGCAAGACCCCCAACGCAAGGCTCCCTGGCCGAGCAGAGGCCCCCTACCCCTCTCCTGAGCTCTCGCTCAGAGGTGCGTAAACTTTAAGACAAGCAGAGAGCAAAGCTCTCCGACGATGTAAGACTGAAAATGGCAGTGCAACACCGCAGACTACGAGTGTTATGAACGTTAACGCTGGTCACAAACGTCTGCCCACAGGTAACGAATACCGGCACCGGAGAAGGAAGGTAAAGCACAGCCGTCCATGGTCAATTATAAAAATCCAGGAATTCAGACTTAGGCCTCTACCCTTTGCAGCAAGCAGCCTTGAGTATTCTAAGTCCACGGGGAATTCTTGTATTTCTAATGTTACTAAATAAAGAAAATACCCATTTCTGGCTTCTTATGAAACCCGAGAGGGGCAGGTTTCTGGATAGAGGCTTAAAGCAAATTAAACAGGTTCACAAACTAAACATCCTATCAGGGCTTATTCCTCAGGCGTGGCTTTGCTTTCTGACAGAAGCAGCTTGGCATCAGCACTGGCCAGGTTCTCTGGGCTGCCACTGGGTTGGGGGCTCCTTTGCAGATCAGTCTTTAGAAAGATCAGAGTATACACTGGCAACGCTCGATATGTAAAAGCACTCTACAGTACCGTACATACGCTTCCAACGATTGGCTACAGCTCTGATCACGCGATTTAAAGATTCCTCATGTAAACCAGAGATGACCTTAACATCCCTCTAGTGTGGACTCTCCTTCCAGCACTGAAAACTGATACTTCCTCCTCAGTCTCTCATCTCTGAACTCTCCTGCAACATGAGAGGCACTTTTATTAAGTGTAGTATCTATTTAAAACTGTAAACCCAGGGTAGAATTTGCTGAACAAATAACACTAGCTTAATAGTCATAACTTACAAGGATTTTTCCCCCTTTAATATAAAAAGTGTAACTACAGCAGTTCAATGTACAAATACAAAAAAAGTTCTCATACTAAAAAAAAAAGTACCATAATACTGTACATACAAAAACTGTTCAACAAGGATGATTTAAATATATCTGTTTTTCTCCAGATCTGGAAGACACAAATGTAAGCTTCTGCAACTGTATTATTGCTGAGAACATGTGCCCGGGAACACTGTGTTTCCCTCTCTCCCCTCCATCCCAGCTCCGCCTTCAGTCCCCTGAGCTTGGACTGGGAGCCAACAGCACCCCTGAAGATAACCAGAGCCAAATGTTTACTCAGTGGAAGTCGTTACTCAGTGAGCCGTTGCTCACCATAAACTATGAAAAGCCCAAGTTGTGAAGCCCAGCCAAGATTAAATCCAGACGGAGGTCTTCCCATCCCCTGATTTGCTACTAGCACTGCTTTTGTTGGACCCAGCTTTGGACCCCACTTTGGCCCTCTTTTCCCGGGGACCATGGGGGTTGTTCTGGTGGCTGTAGGCCTGGATCGCTAGATCCAAGCGCTCCTGCGCCATCCTGATCTCCCGCTGCAGGGTCTCCAAGTCGGCAGGGAGGTGCTCCTCGTGGCTGCCGTACTGCTGCTCCTGGGCGATGTTGGCCTTGTTTTGCTTGTAGGCGATCTTAGCGTTGGACAGCTCGGTGTACTGGATCTGATCTGGTTTGACGGCAATGTTATAGCCAGGGGGAGCGGATGGTGTATTCCAAGTGAAAGGATAATTGTAAGCACCCGGATCCTCAAGCTCCCTCCTTTTACTGTTTAGTGAGTCTCGAATGGTCCCAAACCCTAAATGAAGCATCTCCCAAATGTTGAGCAACAGGCAGAGGCCTGTAACACCATACATTATCAGAAGGAAGATGGTCTTTTCCGTGGGTCTGGAAATGAAGCAGTCTATCTTATGGGGGCAGGGAAGCCTGCTGCACACATAAAACGGGTGGACCTGGAAGCCATACAGAAAGTACTGTCCGACCAGAAAGCCCACCTCAAACACGGTCCTTGCCAGCAACTGCAGCACGTAGATTTTCATGAGCCCGTCCTCCCGGATCCGTCGGCGGCCGTCATGCTTGGGTTTAGGTTGGGTCTGCTCTTTATTTTCTTTTTCACTTTCCAGCTCCATTTCTGGATACATCATGGGGTCCTCTTCATGGTCCTCTTCTGTTTCTTCCAGAGCCCGGTGCTGCTTCCAGCGCATCGCGTAGGGCTTGCTCCGGGCTGCCTTCTTGTCTGCTTCACCGTGCTCCATTTTGGCAATCTTGTGAATGGCATAGCCCAGGTACATCACCGAGGGTGTGGCCACCAGGATGATCTGGAACACCCAGAAGCGCACATGGGAGAGGGGGGCAAAGGCGTCATAGCAGACATTCTCGCAGCCCGGCTGCTCCGTGTTGCACACAAACTTGCTTTGCTCGTCGTAGTAGATGGACTCCCCGCCCACAGCTGTGAGCACTATGCGGAAGACAATGAGCACCGTGAGCCAGATCTTCCCTACAAAGGTGGAGTGGTTGTGGATCTCCTCTAGCAGGCGAGTCAGGAAGCTCCAACTCATGGTGATCGAGCTGGTTGGCCCTGAGTGGGAAAACGCCAAAGCAAAAATCAACAAATAGCAAAATCCAAACAACTTTAGTTTTTGAGACCTCTAGGAACTAGTCCTCCGCATACCTGAAATCTAACTTCAAGACTCAGACTGGAACAGATGTTAAACAGCATTTTCCCCTCGACTCCCCAAACTAGGACAATTCCTCCTCAGCCTAGGAGAGTTAGTTTGGGCACACAGCGTCCTCAGGGGCCTGCCTTGTTTCCACGTTTTGTTTGTTTACAAAGTGTAACTGTAGTTAGCACTGGGATCTATTTCTGAGAAGCCATACACTGGGTGTTTTACATAAACCATTATTTTATGAGACTTCCGAACCCTGTGACATGCAGGTCAGACGGGTGTAGTCACTGAGACCACCACTGAGACACAGAGGAGACCCCTGGGCTAAACTCCTTTGTGAAGATGTCTTTTAGGAAACTTAAATGCTGGACCAGGTGACCAAGTGTTGAAAGGAATTAAGGAGGGCATAGCTACAAGCAACAGGCAATAATCACGAATTAAAACAAGAGAAAAGGGGACGGGGAAGAGACTCTCATCTGCCTGAGCAGTTCACGGTGGATGCCTTGCAGCAGAGAGGAAAACCTGCTTTCCACGAAACAGGTTCTCTACTAGGCTACGGCAGATGTCAGCGAGGCTTGCTCAACTGAATTGTGAGACCATAAACTCCAGTCGGCAGGCAGGTCCGCTGTAGCACGGTTTTTAATTTTGAGATTCTCAGGTCCATGTCCAGAATCTGGGTGAAAACCACCTAAACAAGACAATCCACGCAAAATCTCAGCACAGCCCCTGACACAAAGCACGCCTGGCTTTCACCTGCCCTCCTCCCCCAGGTGCCCGCTACAAAGCACAGGTGATTTGTCAGCACCACCAAAGAAGTTTAAGTACACATTACCTGTTATCCAGAACTGCTGCTACCCAAAACTTTCTTAGAGAAATGGTGTTTCGCTTGCGACTTTTCCAGATTTCCTCTGGAAGGGAAAAAGAAAGGAGCAGGTTGTAAGCTTCCTCCCACAGAGGAAATGAATCACGAAAATGCTGTTTCCAGAAAGAAAATGTCCTGTGCTCCACAGGACCCAACCAGAACGCGAGGGAAACAGGCTTGAGATTCAGCACCACTGCTTTCTCCTCCCAGCGCATGTGGAGACCAACGACGCGACAGCGACTCAGAGACCCTTAAGTCACGGCAGCCTAAGAAAACCTGACGGCAAGATGGGTCACCTGGAGCAACCGGATGCAGACAGTCTGTGGCACTAGGGGAAAGAGCCAAACAGAAGCATCCCAGCAAATCTAACCCGGGTCACTGCAGGCCTTGGGACAGTCTCGCCCTCCGTGCTCCACTCCTGGGAGCGGCCAGCACCTCTTGCTGGGGCTGAGAGCAAGCTGTTCAGCTCCACAGCCGGCAGCGGGCTGTCACTGGGACACCTGCCTCCCCAGGAGGCGATTTACAGACTCACTGCTCAGTTGCAGAAAGGAAACAGCTGCATCTGCACTGTGACCGAGACACAAACTCCAGGACGAGTTCTCGTTCATCACCAACTTCTGCCAACGCTGAACAGTTACAGCGGAAAGTCATCCCCGGGGGGGCCAACTTTGTTCACCACTGTAATTTAACAAATAAATCCAAAGCAATCTCTTTGTGTCGTGTCTTCACAGTATCTTAAGATGCAGTTCTTTTTAATTTTTCCCCTAAAGGACACAGAAGAAAAAACTGGAATAATTCCCAAAATCTCAATGAAGAAAAAAAGTGCAGGCATGCAGGCATCAAGATTTATATAAAGAGTCTGCCAAAGACTTTGCTTTAGGACTTCAAGTGCCACTCTCATTTCTAGCCCTGATCCATCTGAAGTCACTTCTCTCACTGAATTACACAAGTTTTATAAAACTAAAAAAACAGAGGCTGACACTGTGGTACAGCGGGTAGAGCCGCCATCTGCAGTGCCGGCATCCCATACAGGTGCTGGTTCAAGTCCCAGCTGTTCCACTTCTCATCCAGCTCCCTGCTAATGGCCTGGGAAAGCAGTGGAGGATGGTCCAAGTGCTTGGGCCCCTGCACCTGAGTGGGAGACTGGAAGAAGCTCCTGGCTCCTGGCTTCTGTCTGGGCCAGCCCCAGCTGTTGTAGCCATTTAAGGAGTGAACCAGCGGATAGAAGACTCTTCCTCTGTCTCTCCCTTTCAAATAAATACTTAAAAAATAAAAAAAAAAAAGAAAGAAAAACCAATACACAAAACCCCATAATTACAGCTTCTTTGGTTTTCCACATGAACACGCTTTCCAAGTGTAAAAGACCACTAATTTACAAAGGGACTTGGTACTAAAAATGAACTTGTCTATTTACCTTCATCTTTTTCGAAATCAACAGTGAAAAAATGGGTGACGGCCAATTTTCTTTCTAAAATAAAGAACCACAAGCCTCCTAAAATGAATGGCAACATCCGTGCTGCCTTCATCTACAGAGGAGTCGGGAGGTTTTTCTTGGATTTGCTTTTCTTCTCAAATCCCTTTCCTCTCCTTCCAAGTATCCATTCTTGCTTTCTGAGGAATGTCAAATAAACCCTGGGTGATGAGTGCGCCTGGGAAGCGTTCTGCAATACTACAGTCCTCATTTCTATTATGGGTCACTCATTCTCTAGGCAACGCTCCCCTCCCCACAGCTCTGCATGAACAAAAGCACAAAGGGAATGGCTCACACGACTCCAACAGATAAAGAACAAAGTCTGTTCAAGAATGAGTAGAATGGCGGGTTCCGGAATTAACATTGCTAAACAGAACGATGTGTCACTGCCAAGTGTAATCTCTTTGTGGAAAAAAGTGCTCTTGGTCCACACTCCAGTCTCTCTTCCCTGAACCATTACTCTGGCCTCCATCAGACGCCTGTGAGTCAGGGCGCGGTCCTCGCTGACTCCCCTGCTCTGCACAGACTTGGTGACAGCATACGCAGCGAGAGTGTACAATCCACCCACGGAAGGCTCTCATGAAGAAGTGCACGAGTATGTCCACATCCCAGTTAGTAATGGACAATGACATGGAAGAGAAGATCCTGACAAGTGGTGCAAGAGATGAGACGGGGGAGACCAAACATCTCCAAGTTTGTTCACTCATCAGCAGAGACTTAGCTGATTTATGTGTTGTAATATCGTCTCGAATGTATCCTTTATGCTTTGGCGGAGTTTGTATCTATACAGTCTATAAAAGGTGACATTACTGTCACAGGCAATATAAATATCCATGGTTTTTCACCTTGTACTATCATTTGATTTCCTAAATAGTCACTAGCAATTTACAATGCCTGAGGAATAATCTCATCATTCCCACCTCAACCTCACTATGCCCCTTACGCTGCTTTACTAGAAGAAAATGAGACTCCAGAATTAGGTGGCTCCGCACGGTTCCCACTTCCCTCAAACTCACCCCGATCACGGGGCTTCCAAGGTTTGTCCTGTATCTGCAGAATGCACTCTTGAAAGAGTACAGACACTAACCACGTCAGGTCTAACAAACAGCGTCTCTGTTTACCGTCTTCCTCCAAATTTCATTGTTTTTAATAGAATCACATCAGTAAATTCCTTTTTTTAAAAGATTTTTTTTTTTTAAATTTGAGAGTTAGAGAGAGAGAAAGGTCCTTCCTTCAGTTGGTTCACTCCCCAAGGGTGCTTCTCGGTCTCCTACGTGGGCGCAGGGACAGTAAATTTCTTGAATAAATTAAAATGTGAGAAAGTTCTTTTTTTCTAAAGAGGTTTAAAAAACAAGCAACTGCAGTACATGGTAGTCCATTATTCAAAAGGACTCAAACATCCCCCAAAATCCCCACATTCTGAGGAAAACCATGTTTGTTTATGTAACTTTATTGGACACAAATCAAATATGCTATTTCTAGTCCATTTTCCAAATAGCTAAAGATACAGATCTACCTCATCTTGCACTAGAAAACAGAATTTCAAAAACTAGTTGGCACCAACACAGTAATAAATTATGCATTTCCCTCCCACATTCTTTTTATTTCATGTGTTTTCTATCATTTACCTCCTAACAAAATCAAATAAACACTGAGGCTAGCGTTGAGCCGCAGAGGGTAAGGCTATCACCTGCGACACTGGCATCCCATGTCGGAGCACCAGCTTGAATCCTGGCTGCTCCACTTCCGATTCAGCTCCCTGCTAATGCACCTGGGAAAGCAGCAAAAAATGGCCCAAATATTTGGGCTCCTGTACCCACATAAGAGACCAAAAGAAGCTCCTGGCTCCTGGCTCCAGCGTAGCCCAGCCCTGGCTGCTGTGGCTATTTGGGAAGTGAGCCAGCAGATGGAAGACCTTTCTGTCTCTCCTTCTCTTTCTTTGTAACTCTGCCTTTCAAATAAATAAATCTTTAAAAAAATGATCAACTACACACACACAAAAACCCACAGATTTTTCTATAAAATACAATTCAGGAATTTTGAAGATTAAATGTAAAGCACATTACTTACATTATCAAGGTATTCTATTATTAGAGGCATTGTGAAGATGAGGAAATTTTATATAATTCGCCTATGATGAGTCAATGGCTAAGTGGTGAAGTCAGAATTTGGAGAGAACCAGCCCTGGCTCTGAGACTCTACATGAAGAGAGGGAAGGACCTTATTCCAACCTTTGGGGTCAAGAGTGGTAAAAGAAACACCAGAGTGGGAGACTCCATAAATATTGAAGGAATTAAAAGATTAAAAGCAAAAAACAAACACACAGAAAACAACCACCTCCAGGTGTCTCGGTGGCTGGGAAGGAAGGAACCATTGGCACCTCTAATAACAATGACAACTTAGGAGGAGAACTGATGGGGACACCGAGATAGGGACTGGAGAAGCTGATACATCCTATGAAGGGCCGAGAAGGCTGAGGGGAACACTGGGATGACGCATGTCTGAAGGGTGAGAGATCTGCCTTGCCTCAAGACAAACACCTCTGCTACCAGGACAGCC